CAGAAAGGGGTACAACTGGCGCACAAGATGAAACTGCAAAGGACTTTCTGGCCACAGCTACCATCTGCTCTTTGTGGAGGAGCTGTGAGTCCAAGAAGATCCCCAGATTGTGTACCAGTCTTGAACAGGGAAGTGCAATCTCACCCGAGATTAAACATGGAAATCCTCAGATCATGGGAGGCACTAATATCCACAGCCACTCAGTCTTGGCAGAGTTAAGTCAAAGTCGGTTTCTCCCCATCCAGACCACACAGGCTCCAGTCACTAGGATAGGACCTCAACAGCATTACTTGGTTGGCTTGGGGTTGAGAGATGTGATTGGGTATCATCAGCATTTTGAGGATACCAAACCCTAGACTGGCAGATGGTTTTACCCAGTGATTACATGTAGATGTTAAACAAGAGGGGAGAGAGTATGGGACCTGGTGACACCCCACAAAGGGGTTGGGGGAGCAGTCTCTGACCTCCTGTCAATACCGACTGAACCAGCCATGAAGGAAGGAAGAGAACCACCATAAAATGGAGCCTCCAATTCCCAGCCTCTGCAGCTAGTCCAGGATTCAGGTAGTCCTTGTTTAGCAGCTGCCTTGTTTAGCAACTGTTCACAGTTACGACAGTGATGAAAAAATAACTTTATGACCAGCCCTTGTATTTAGGCCCTTTGCAGGCCTGTAAAACAAAAGAAAGCTGAAGTAAGCTCATAAGCACAGTTGTAGTTTCACTTAGTGACCGCTTCGTGTAATGAACAAGCTGCTGGTCCCAGTTGTGGTTACTAAACAAGGACCACCTCTACTCAGCAGTATCCAAAGCTGCTGAGAAATCAAGGAGTATAGGGATGGATGCACCATAATCCCCATCCTGACTCTGCCAGAGGTCATCAATAAGTGCGCCCAATGCTATATATTGTATCTGGTTTGAAAATATTTAAGATAGATAAGAAAGATACAACCCATTTAAAATAACATCTGAAGTAACATTCAGAACTGAGCAAAAAGACAGATGATAATTGTGAGATACCTGGTTAAATTGGAGAAGGCTGATGTGGTACTGTAGCTAATTCAGTCCAAATCAGGGATTAGCCTAATGGTATCATTCCACTGTACAGAGATGGGCGTGGGGAGACAGTGTTCCTCTGGCAGATATATTTTCTCCTGTTGAAGTTGCTCTGGAAGATTGGTAAATCTTCTGAAATAGATATGGGAATCATGCAGGGTTCTGGAGGGAGGGGGAAGAATACATTCTGTTGGCAGATATGCCCATCTTGTTGAATGTTGCCCAAGGTTTTATATTTCTGGTATAAAAAATGTATACAGAACTCCAAAATACTTATCAGTTTTTCCTTCTAGTGTTTCATTTTAAATGCCAGATATAGTTATATTTAATTTTATTCTCAGATAATAATATGTTTGAAGAGCAAAGATGGGCAGTCGCATAGTTTTGCTTCAGATTTGTGGCGAAGGTTTTTTTATAAAAGGATATAAATTGACTTTTTTCCCCTTTTCAAAGTATTCCTCTAAAGTTGTGTATGATTTGGCTATTGTAATGCATTTAGTTCATACGCTAACTAAAACAACTAATCAATATGATATTCCATTTGGAGAACATGATTGGTTGAACTATTAAGAATATTTCATTATTTTATTTTATTGGTGCTGGGAGAAGACCTGTAAGAAATCATACTTTTCCATTTATCATTAAATTACAATAGTAACATCTGTTAGTTGGACAAGTACATTGTTGTTTCAACTGGATACTCTTCTTGAATTATGTTAGAAAAACAAAAAAAATGAGAGCAAATGTTTTATGTAAATATTTATATAATATTTTTAAACTTTTCTATCTGCTGCCTAGAAAGTAATGTTCTCATCCTTCAGCCTAATTATACAATGAATGTTACTTACATAGAAGGTTCTGTGAGTTTAATTTGCTTCGGAGATACTTGTTTTTCTTTGTAAAGGGCATTTGTGCGCATGCGTACACACACACACAAACATATATAATCCATTTATATATAATATATATATTGCTATTGGCTGCAGCAATGCTAGCTGTTTCACATATTTGCTTTATTTGGATATGGTTTGGAAAAAGATAAGTAAATGATAATTATGGAGTATAATTGCTGCCCCTCTTTTTAAAAAGGCAAATATTCAAAATATACAGATTTTCTACCCTACTTTTGATTTTGCTTATGAAATTATGGGAGCCAGTTATTGGCTTCCATTAAATGAACTTAAATAAATAAAGTAGTTATACTTTGAGATATGTACCAAGATGGTTGAAAATATTGTTATCCTAAAAGTCTGTGAAAATGAAAACCCTGAAATTATTATAAAAGGAAGAGAGACCAACCATAGTATGGTAGGCATAATGATGTTTAAAGGTGTATGTAAGTTTTGAATGCAGTCACTGAAGTATATTTTAAAAAACCATGCAGCAATTTAATAACTTCAAATTTATTAGCTAACCATTATTAATGTATTTAGTATTTCAAATGATTAGCTGAGCCACTGGCATTCGGATCCATTATTTAGGGTAACCACATAGAGTGAAAGGCAGTGGTTTACTAGTAAACCTTAATACAAAAATGTATGTTTTTCCTTTTCAATAATTTCTCATGTGCCCTCAAAATGTGGTACAAAGGGAGCAGTTTTTTAAAGTCCGTGGGAAGGGCTATAGGGGTAAGAGGAAACATCCTTTTTCCAAGTAGATTTTGTGAAGATTTCTCCTTCCCTCTTTCCCATCATAGCTCTATAACATTCACCAGGGCTGTGTAGCCCTCTGAGTAATGTTTTCAAGGGCTGGGCTGGGTTGGGGTGAGGAAAGTCGGCATCTTCAAGTCTTATTCAGAAAAACTAAAACTATGTACTTGACCTGGATAAAATTATTTTACATGCCCCAGGTTTTTGTGTTGCTGCCTTAGAGACTGTCAGTTTTGTACAATAATATCACAAAAACAAGTTCAAACCTTTCAGTACTTACTTAAATTGAATTTGACAATTTTATACCCAATCTCTTCCAATTTATTTTGTGGAGCCTTTAGAAGATGAACAATAAGTGTTGATAAATAGCTGTCTACTAAGCAGTCTTGGAGTAGTCACTGGAAATAAACAAGAAATATCTCTTGAAATTATTGGAAGTGGTTTTTTTTAACCTGCTTTGTATCTCACTGTTATTGCTGTTAATTACACTACACTGAGAATTGCTAATTGCTTAATGACTTCAGGCAATGATGTTGCAATGTTTTTGCCTTGTCTGCTTTATCTAGTTAAGCTCTCCCACACCACTGAAACAGGTTTCAAACCAGTTGTGTAGCTTCAGTTTCTATCTAGAATAGAATTACTCAGAATGTTTACAAGATTGAATTCCATCATTTATGTATGTGGTTAAAAGTATAGGCACACCTTTGCGTAGTTCAAGCAGTGTGTATAAACCTGGGTGTGGCTTGGCCATTGAGTATTTAATATTTTAAGTATGTAGTAGTTTTTCCTCCAAAGCTCTAGGTACCTTATGGAATACATACCATATGGAATACATCTGGAATTTCTGAATGTAGTATAGTAACTAGGTTTGTATGGAACAGTACAAATATCCTGCATAAATTGTTGGGAAAAAATGCAGGAATCTATTTTATGTACATTTTGTACTGTCCCATATAGTTTTATTTACTGTGTTACATTCAGAAACATTATTCTGTGTACTTCAGAGGCTCTGTGACAGTGTGTTTAAATGGGGTGGAGAAATGGCTTTGATCAGCTCTCTCCACTTGTCTTGTGGGCTGGGTGATATAAAGGGTGTGGAGCATAATGGAGAGAAGCCTTGCTCCCTGATATAATCAGCTATGGGGAGCCATCATTTCCTGTAACTGAAATATGGGAGAAAAAGTCTCTGAATAAGACAGGGCAAGGACCCCTGACTCTCTGCTTGTGTTTGCATGGAACAGTTTCTTTAATGTGAGACTTTCCCAAAGGGGCAAGAGCTATACCGGCCAAATTGTTCAAAGTTGTCCTGTGCATTCTTCTCATTGAGGGAGTTAAGAAGGCAGGTCTCCTGGAGCATTTGTTTATCACCTGCCAAACCCTCAGTTGGGTATCTGATGTTCTTTGGGAGAACCCCTTCTCTATACACAGGTATGGGACTTAGAGAGTGTAATGTATGTTTTAGGATATATTGCATTATCTTTTGTAATATTGTACTTTAATATCAAATATGTAGTGAGTTAACATCATAAAACTCCATATAGGAAACATTTCCTGAAATCAATTACAGTACTTTAAAGTCTATTAGCGTGATCATTCTGAATTTTAGTATTTACATCATTCTTTAATTCATGTTTTAATTCATTTTAATTGTTAATTTGAGCTACTCTTTTAAATTGGTTGTCATTTTTATTTTTTTGTGTGTATGGGTGGTTTTTAGTGCCCTAGGGTTGGAGTGGTAAAATATAAATTGAAGTAATAAGAATAATAAAAATTTCTGTTTAATATAAGGGTTGGCATTTGGAACAGCTTCCAGTGGAAATCACATTGGCCCCCTCCCTGATTGCATTAAGAAAATGTTAAAAACTGAGCTCTTTTGTAGTGCATTTATAATGCAGAATTAGCCGTTAATGCATATATTGATTCAACATGATGTATATACTATGGGTCCATTATGTTTGATTGATATTAGACATTTTAAAATTAGGTTACTGTTGATGTTTTAGTAATTTTCTATATATCTTGTAAACCACTAAGAGATGCATTTGATTGTTGTGGGATATAAATACAAAACAAACAAATAAGCTTAAATCTGATTTAATCCCTGGAAAGATACACAGCAAATTCCTCAATTTCCCTCACACTTTCTTTCTAGAATTAGACTTACAGTTTTCAGTTGAGGGTGGTTGATGTTCGGTTATCTGAACAAGAATCAATTCCCCCCCTCCGCCCGAGTTGGAGAATATTTACCTTGGACAATGGCATGAATGAGACTATCATCTGTTTGCTTTTTTTCTCTAGAGAGATGATGGTAGTGATGGTAGTTTGAGTGATAGTCACATATCTCCTCCAGCCAAACGTACCTTGAAACATGCTGATTCTGTATGCAAAGACAAATCAAAATCTCGCAATACTGGACAGCGAGAGGAATGGAGTGTCTCAACTGGTCAGTCCCGGTAAGCATATTAAAGATATATGTGTGTGTATGTATGTGTGTGGGTAGACAGTTTTAATCATTTTTTTAAACAGCTTAAATTACTGACTAATGCTGAATCTTTACTGTCTCTAATGAACTGTTTCTACTGCTTAAAGTAGCATTCTTATATCAGATTCTATTCTAGCCTATGTACTAAAACCTATTCTGTGCTGCATGGAAAGGGAAAACTAAACTTGGGATGCTATTTTTGTTCTCACTCCCATCCCATCTTTCTCATAATGTGTAATTCTTCATTAGTAACTGATTTCAGCCAGATATGCTGACTTCATGCATAAGTGTATGAGGTACAGCTTGTTCCTTCTCCCTCCCTTCTCCCCCCTCCAACTTTATTTCAGATGACAAATTTTGTTTGTGGGAAAGAAAAAGAGCAACTCCATCTGTTGCTTACATTAAAACATCTGGAATTCCTTGTGATTTTGTTTGTTCCATGCATACGGTATTATGTTAATAAGCTTAACTAGTTCCATGCTTTCTCCAACAATAGAAAGCATTAGCCATGTTACTGCTACAGATTAATAGCTTTGTTTTGTTACCAATCCCAAATTTGATCTTTGAGGTTGCTCCCTAACAATTACACAGCTTAACCAATTTGATACAGGCAAGTTAGGTTTTGGAGTTGACTTGACCAAACATTATTTATTATTCTTTTCAACATGTGTTCACTTATTCTGTAGCAAAGAGAACAAAATTATTGTAAGCAAAGGTAAAACGAGGTATAAAGTCGATAGAGGTAGTATATAAATTGTTAAAATTATTCTGTTGTATTAAGTATCTGGAACTGCACAAATGAATGCTAATACTTCTGATTCCCCACCATTAAAGCTGAAATGGGACTTAATTCCCATTTCAAGATGACTATCATGCCTAATGGAATTTCCACTATTTATAAGCATTTTAAGCATGAATTGTGTGAAATCAGAAATGAAAGGCTCAGTTTTTTTAAAAAATGGCACTGCTAAATATTGTTACCTATCTTGATTAATAACTTTCCACACTGCTTATACTAATTTGAGCCAATATGTAAACATCCTTCTATTTTATTCTTTCATTGCCAAGAGGAGCAGTTTGGAATAGTGATGGTGATGGTGATGTACAACCTGCCCCCAAGAGAGTAACAAGAGAAAATCTAGTTCACACATATGAAAAAAGACCAGAGGTGGATAACTTAGCTCCCTAAGCTGCATAGAGCCTCTGAAAGCAGATATAGTTCTAGAAATATTATAAAAGTTGCCATTAAATTTACTGTATAATTTAATTTAACTCAAAAGTAAAATAAATTACTTTTTTTTTTGTCTTGGCTTTGTCTACCATTTGAATGTAGTCCCCTTTGTGTTCCTCTGCCAGGAAAAAAAATCATTTCCCTGCTTTCAGCAAATTACTAACTTTGCTCCATCTCCTCATTTGTAGAAGCTACATTAAAATTGCTTAACTGTTTTAAAAGACACAGATGGGTAATAAATAGTTTTCAGATCACTTGTAGAGATGAAATTGTAACAGAGTTTATGTCCAATGTGTAACACTTGGGAGTAGGAATAATAGAAGTATTATGTGAATTGTAGTTTTAATGCAACTAGCTAATTTTCCAAATTAAATTGTTTCTTAGGTTAACTTCTCAATCTGGTGCTACTTTACCAAATGGTCGTAGCTTATGTAAGTACTTCATACTTGAATTGCTTATTCTCTTGCTAGACATTTTTACATTTTTAATGTTCTTTCTGTACCTCTAACTTTTCTAATCTGCGATATTACTTTTTTCAGTGCAAAAAGGAAATAAAAGCTACATTCAGTGTTCCATGAGCAGATACAGGTAGTCCTTGACTTATGACCACAACTGGGACTGGAACTTCCATCACTAAGCAATGTGGTCATTAAGTGAATCGCACCCAATTTTATGACTTTTTTTGCTGCAGTTATTAAGCGAATCACTGTGGTCATTAAGTGAATTTGGCTTCCCCCATTGACTTTGTTGGAAGCCCCCTGGGAAGGTTGCAAATGGTGATCATGTGATCCCGGGACATTGCAGCCATTGTAAATACATGCTGGTTGCCAAGCACAAATATTGATCACATGACTGCAGGGATGCTGTGACGGTTGTAAGTGCAAGGACCGGTCATGTCACTTTTTAGCACCATTGTAACTTCGGACAATCATTAAATGAATGGTTGTAAGTCAAGGACTACCTGTATCCACTTGTGGAACTAGCCTCATTTTTTTCATTTTCTTGCCCCATGCTGTCTAATTCTATTTTAGGCTGCACTCCAAATTCTCCAGAGCAGAATTTGGCATGAAGGGTACAGAGTGATATACATTTATCATTAAAATTGAAATATTTCTGATAAAATAATTATATATGTCTTTGTAAGTCTGTGTGTGTGTAAATATTTTTACACAATTTTTGTACCTTCCTAATCATAAGATTCTGGGTAGCTCACATATGTAGATGCCATTAAAATTACAACAACAATAATAATAAACCCAACTGGTAATACATTGCACCAGTCCACACACCCTATTAGAGACATCCTAAATGATTCTTATTATTTCTCAGTATTAATATTATAACTTGAAATTTGCAGCTCTCAAAAGCTGTTCTCTTCGAGGGGAAAAAAAGGGAGATGGTGACCATGCCTGTATAAATGGAGGCAGAGAAATCAGAAAAAGTTGTCGATCTAGAAAAAACAGATTTGAAAGTTTGAATCAGAGTTTACTGTTTGACCAATTGGTAAACAGGTATGTTGGAATACTATAATAACAATAGTTTCTAATTTCATGGTATTTTTAAATTATGTTTGTGGTATATTTCAGTCTATGAGAGGAACATTTTATTTATTTAACCAAAGATGTCTCCCTATCTTGAATATTCAGCTTCCAAACTGTTTAATATTTTTTGTTTATCTGATGCTGGCACAGAAAGATGTGTTATATTATATGGCCTAGGACTTATCAATGAGTGTACAGGTAGACGTTGCTTACTGACTGCCTCATGCATTGACCGTTCGAAGTTATGATGGTGCTGAAAAAATAACTTTGTGACTAAGGCATGCATTTATGCAGCGTCTCTCAGTCATGAGTTTGCCATTACAGTCAGTCAGTACGCGTTGTCCTGTGCCTGACCCATTTTTTTCTCCCTCCCCCCCACAGAGTAGAGAGATTGGAGAGGAAGGGATTAGAAGAGAGTAAGCAGGCACACATGGGGAATACACATGAAAAAGAATGCGCTAGTGCCGGGGAAACATTAATTCCCTTCTTGCTAATTATTCTAGCTCTGGGGTGAGCATTCCAAAAGGCGGGGGAGTGGGGAAAAAGGAAAGCTGAAGTAAAATCAGAAGCACAGTTGCATTCATGTGATTTTCCACTTAGCGACTGCACCACTTAGTGATTGAGTTGCCGGTCCCAATTGTGGTCGCTAATCAAGGACTACCTGTATTGACATTTTGTTTCTGCACCACACAATAGCAAATACATACTAGTTTCTTTTAGGTATAAAACAGTGTTTTTGAATTTTTCCTTCTCTTAATAACATTTTCTGCTTGTTGTAAATTATGCAATCCAACTTCAAAAGTATTATGCTTTAGTTTATTCATTTTATAATTTTAGTATAATTGCTGAAAACATTAGGAGAAGATTGAATGTTGCTTATAATGTAAACAGGCAAAGAAAAATCTTTACAAGTTATGTCATACAGGTAGTCCTTGCTTACCAATGGCAATTGGAACTGGGAATTCCATTGCTAAGTGACGCAGTTGTAAGGTGTGACATCACATGACCGCGCTGACTTATGATGGCAGTTCTGGCAGTCCCAGTTGCTGTCGTTAGGCAAATCCCACATGGCTGCAGCATCTCATGGTCATGTGATCGCTATTTGCGACCATTTGCCAGCTCCCCGTTGACTTTGCTTGTCAGAACTGTGACGTAATTGCAAGCCAGTTGCCAAGTGCCTGAATCGCAATCAGGTGACTGCATGGATGCTGTGATGGCTGCAACTACAAGGACCTGTTATAAGTACCTCTCGTTCAGCACCATTGTAACTTTGAATGGTTGCTGAATGAGTGGATGTTAAATGAGGAGTACTTGTATCTATACAATCTTAGCCTATAAAACAATGTCCCCAACTTGGCACCCTTAAAATGTGTTGGGACTGCAATTCCCCAAATTAGTAGCTAGCTACAATATGAAGTATATAAATTAAAACCTGTGGAAGCTGTGTTTCTATATGTTTGTGGATGATGTGTGTTGAAGGAACAGAGTAACTTCAATTTAAAAGTGCCCTTTAAAATCTTAGGATATTACTCTACAAACTCCTGTTTCTCTTTCAAGGGAAATGATTATACATCTCTTGTAAGTATACGGTCTGATAAATATGTGGAGTAGACATTTAATTTACTCATCTAACCAATTTGATCCTCTGGGAGATTTATTGTACTTATTTCATGTAACTTCTCTACTAGGAAATACAAAATAAATGGATCAGACATTTCAGCCCTGCCCACTTTATAGTCACAGCATCTTAAGAGGCAAAACATTACATTTTTAAAAATGAGGTTCCCAGCAGGAAAAAACAAACAAAAACAAAACCCCAAACTCTACCCATGCAACAAATGACACCAGAATTGTAAGAGTTGAGTTTATTCAGGGACTTTGGAGAGTATGGGAATAAACTTTGGACTCTTATTTTTCTTATTTGTATACAATTCATTTTAGCCTCTGAACTATATCTGTAAATCACAGATAAAAGGCATATTACTGAATTTACTCACACTGGAAGAGGGTAATGTTCATTTGTTGGTTTCCTTAAATGCAGCCCCTTGCATTCAGTAAAAACTTGCTTTGGCAGTTGGGGTTCCTTCTAAAAGGGTGTAGGAATGTTCTAATGCAAAAATCACCTTTTTGTGTTTTCTGCTAGCAGGCTTCTTTGCTGGACCAAAAGCTTCCAAGGAACATAAGGGACCCTTATTTATAACCATATTTAGTTATGATCCAGCTATTGTATCTACTTACAGTTTGACAAGTCAGTTATTACATACCTTGTAATACATTTTATATTACCATTTTTCTATGTTAGTACGGCTGAAGCTGTTCTTCAGGAAATGGACAATATTAATATCAGACGGAATAGGCGATCGGGTGAAGTGGAACGGTTGCGCATGTGGACAGATACAGAATTTGTAAGTTTAAATCTCTTCTCACCTTTCTTATATTTTGTTTAAGCCTTGGATATGTTATAACCCAGCATTGAAAGCACTTGTTAATAAAAAAATTGACTAAAGTTACTTTTTAATATTATGCTGTATACATTTTTCAATCCTTATGAGAGTAAAGGAACAGAAGGGAAAGGGAAAGCTTGATGCAGCTGGCTGGGGAGAAAACAGGTGTCTCATAAACAACACAGTAATATTCATAAAAAGTTACATAGGTTGTGGCAAATTATATGATAGTCAACTATCTGTAAGACGCTATGATTAATACAAAACAGTCCATCTACATACACATGGTTTGCTGGTTGGCATTTGGGACATATGTTTCCTTAAGGTTCCTTTAAGTAGTAGCAACTCACATCTAAAATCCAGTTGCAGGAACCGGAAAAACATCTTCTCTGTCTTTACTGTTGCAACTTTGGAGACTTGCACAACCGCTGAAATGCTGTAGTAGATGAGTGGATAAATGGAAGCTAGTTGATGAGGCAACAAGGCTTTCCCTTTTATGAGCTGGCTAGCTTGCAACAGCCCCGCCCTTCCCAGCTACCCTATTGGCTGCTGGGAAGCTGTGGCTTTGAGTAGTAGAATTCTTGAGTCTCTGGCTCATTTCTGTAGATTCCAGCTCGGGCAGCAACAACTTGTGCCTCACATTGCCACATGGTGGCAAGGCCAGAGAATTTTAACAAGCTAGTCAGAGTGCCTTGCTGCTGTGAGTTCTACAGTCCTGATTGTGCCTCCCCTGTCTCCAAATGTGGGCACTTATTCAAGAACAGATGCTCCATTATTATAAAATCAAATATTTCTATATGCCGGATAGATACAATAACTGAATTATTTTGTGAACAATCCCATGTATTCTGTTATAGTTCTTAAGATAAAATAGAATGAACACACACACACACACACAC